GCGCGCGCGCACACACACACACACCCACACACACACAGACACACACACAGTGGGAAAGGCATTCAGAGTTTTATGCTTCTGCAGGAAGAAAACACTCAAGAAAACAAGATGTAATAATAATAAGTCTTGTTGTGAAAAGTTTGGTGCAAAGGATGATTTACAGTCATTTAGTGTTAAAGTCTTGATCAGTTTTCTTGTTAATTGAAAGTTAAGTAGGGGGAAATTATTCTTTTATTTATTTCATACAGCTGGAGTAAGCACAAATTCATGTAGTATTACTTAAAACACTTCAATTTGCAGTCATTGCAACAAAAACATTCTAAATTGAGAATCAAAGCATTTGTTAAAATTAAGTTCAGATTTACTATTTAATAACAGTCCAAAAGAGTTTGATGTAGCAGATCAAACTAGTTTATAAATAATAAGAAAAAAGGCTAATTATTTGTCTTACCTGCTTTTTCTAGTCTCCATGAACCATTAATTAAAATTCAGTGTAACAGATATAATGTATACCTCTTGCAGTATTTCTCAATTAATTTTTTACTTTATTATTTATTTTTATTGAACCAACCAGASCAAGCTGCGCTGGCTGTGTGAGGAGGTGCGGGAGCGCGACACAAAGGAGCAGCGCCTGAGGAAGCAGCACCAGCAGACCAGGGATCAGCTGAAGGCTCTCAGGCGGAGCCGAGACTCCGAACAGGCGGCTCTCCTGCAGCGCTTGGACCAGCAAGAGAGCCTGCTGCACTCCCTCAGCGCTGAGAAGAAAGGTAGAATCGTGTTCTCAAACCAGCTTTGTCTTTTTTCTGCTCACGCTTAACTTGTGAGATTGTATATTTACGTAGGTTGTCTGTGTCAAAAATAGATGAATGTTTACGGTGGTTGTTCTTAATTCAGACATCTTAGCTTGTCTGATGCACCTCAGTCTAATCTGTTCATCTGGTCACATCATCTAGAACAGGGGTTCTTAACCTTTTTGACTTCGGGGCCCAATTTGTTGAACATAAAGTGGCACGAGGCCCAGTCAGACATTAGTAATGTATGGATCAAAATGATAATTATTCTAATCTAAATCTTGGTTTAATTTTTATTGTATTTACATCATAACTAAACTATCATAACTAACGTAACTAAATTAAATACACTTAGAGTTTAAAAGTAAAACTCCTGTCAAATAATCACGATATGATTATGACAAACATTTTTTTATTTTGTAACCTGCCCATAACAATTATTTGAACAAATACAAAGGTCAGGCAACAGACCACTCAGGCTTATCAACACAAAAATAACATTTTTTTAACGATCAACAACAAAAATAGACAATTCAAGAAATATATTTGTGGTTATACAA